GTAATGATGATGATGATGAAACAATTACTTGGGTAAAACTATATCGTATTTTAACAACTACTAGATAGTTAGATAACACTTTATTGTACGGTATATAACCATAAATATTAACAAAAAAGAAGAGTTAGAAATGTTGTACAATGGGTGGTCTTATCGCTAAGTGCGATCTCTTCCAGACAACCCTTGGATGGACAGGATTTCAAGAAAACAATAAAAAATGTGCGCGGTTTGGCGACAATAATAACATTATTTTTATTATAAACCATAAAATGGAAATAATGATGCATAATATAGAATGGTATATAAGTAGACAAATACATACTTTACATTTTGACTTTTTTAAGCGTACCGCTGTTGCAGTCACTAAAATCAGTTATTGGCCATACTCAACACTAATACTATGCCTAAAAATTTATAATATTTAATCAAATCTTTGATTGTTAACTTGTGGCGGCACTGTCGTCGCGCCACAAGCGAAACATATCGAAGCCTAAATCGCGCTAACAAAGTTCCGAAATTAAAGCAGTATATATAGAATAGCTCCCAACTACCACTCGCAGTGTTGGCCGCTCCCCGAGCAGAACACCTTGCCCGGCAGGAGATCTCCTCTTTTCCTTCTTACGGCTACACTGGGTCACGTCGTGGTCACCAGTGTGGCGGGTGGAAGGAACGCTCCGAGTGGTAGTTCGGAGCTATTCTATATATACTGCTTTAACTTCGGAACTTTTTTAGCGCGATTTAGGCTTCGATATGTTTCGCTTGTGGCGCGAAGAGAGCGCCGCCATAAACTATAGTGATTGTTGTAAAATTTGATGCGCGTCTATAAAATACCAGTTGAAACTAGAGTGACCGAGAGGTTGTGCCTCTCTAGTGGAGCGTTATATCGATGTTGGCGATTTGGAATTGAGGGTATATCGAGAAACACCTCGCTCATTTTTGCAGTATAATAATCAGAGTAGGTACAGAGCGTAAAATATTCCGATGAAGTCATTCAGTGCCATGGTTTTATCCGTTGTGGTGGTTCTTCTGGTGCAGGCATGGACGATGGTGTTGCTGAGAGACTGCCCAGTGTTACGTTGAGACGGTGGTATTGCTGTTGGTTTGCATACTTTGGCGTTAACATGTAACTATGTATATCATGTAAGTATTGCTGTTGGTTAGCAAACTTTGGTGTTATCATATAAGTAGATAGATAGATAGATAGATAACACTTTATTGTACGCCAAAAAATAACAAAAATATTAACAAAAAATGAGAAAAAGAAATGTGGTATAATGGGCAGTCTTATCGCTAAGAGCCATTTCTTCCAGACAAGCTTTAGATGGACAGCATTGCAAGAAAACAATAAAAACGTGTGTGGTTTGCTGACAAAATAATATTATTTTTATTAAAGCCATAAAATAAAAATATATAATGGTATATGAGTAACTACATAGATAAGATAAATACATATATACTTATTAATATATATGTATAAATATACAAATAAATATATATTTTTATAAATATCAATATATAAAAGTACAAATATATACTTTAAAACTATTACATATAACATAAAAGTGCCATACATATAAACAAATATTGTAACTAAGTAAAGGAGAATAATTATATACAAATGAACTAGATAGAATCAAAGTTGAAAAAAGTAATCATGTACATGTTCCTTAAAAACCGGTAGGGATTGAGCGCGTCTTGCTGATAACGGCAAGTCATTCCATAATCGAACAGCTTGTATTGTGAACTATCTGTCCAAAAATTTGGTAGTGTGGGCTGGCATTTTTAATATCAAATTTTCTGATGATCTCAAATGTCTCATATGTGATTCATTGAGGAATTCAAACCGATTTTTTAGGTAAAAAGGATAGAAAGGATTAAAAAGGATATTATAAAGAAGTGAGTGAATATGAGCATTCTAGTGAAGGCTAATTGGCAACCACTTGAGTCTGTTACGAAAATCTGACACATGATCATATTTACACAAACCAAATATGAATCTCATACAGAAATTTTGAAGTCGCTCAAGTTTATCAAGTTGCATTTCAGTGAGATCAAGATAGCTGACATCTGCATAATCGAGTATTGGAAGCAGAAGAGTTTGGCAGTTGGTAAAAAGTTTCGTAGTCTTCTCAAAGAATAAGCAGCTGCAAAAATTTTACAACTAACTTCCTGTAACTGAGGACCCCAAGATAAAGTTTTATCGATAAATACACCCAAATTTTTGACAGTGTCACTGGTCGGGATTATATTACCATCAAATAAAACTTTGGTTGCTTGTGGTAAATTGCATTTTGTAAGCATATGCGGAGAACCTATATGTCCTTATAACTTATATGTCCATCATGCTACACTAGTGCGTAATTATAATGATAAATTGCGTAGGCAAGAGAGCAAGTGGAACATCCGCTTTCACTCTTTTACTATTATTAACAATTAGCCTTTCCTGAGGTACTTCCGAGATCGGAATTTGGATCTCATGTTGTATATTCCGACATGAATAATATTCGTGATGTATCGTACGTTGCGGTTAGTTTGTAATTTTGGTTGCGGTGTTATGGTCCTTTATATTGGCTTCTTGCCAACACCTAATTTGAAATGTAGTTTAATTGTTATTGTGTTTCAAAATTACATGATTCAGTTTTCTGTTTCATTAAATTAGAACGCTACAACATAGTTTACAACATATTATTTATTTTGTTTTAAGATGCATTTTTTATTTTTGGTAAAATTGTTGTTTATTTTATTATTTTAATCGACATATTATATGAACTTGTATATATTCTGTGTTATTTAATGTGATAACCTAATCGCCACCCAGTATTAATTTCCTAACAATTTATGTCGGATCGACTCATTAGATTTTAAATCATTGATTGCTCTTATGGCCCTCTTCTGTAAAACAAATATAATTTCAGTTTAAATCGCGTGTCCCCATAGCAAATTACTATTCGATATTATGCTATTGAAATAGCTAAAGGAAACAAGTCTAGCTGTTTCCACACTGTTAAGATTTCTAATCTTTTTTACAGCATATGCAGCAAAATTAATTCTGCTTGCTAATTTCGATATATGGGGGCTCCATTGAAGCTTCGCTTCTAGTGTTATTCCAAGAAAAATGGTCGACAAGACTCAGTTCCTCCCCATTTAAAATTACATTAGTATATAATTGTTTGACATGTGGAGTCATGAATTTCATATATTTTGTTTTAGTGCCTTGTAAATGCAAGACCAATTTACTAATTTAGATATGGCATTATTTACTTTGTCATATTTTAATAACTGTCGTTTTAATTTGAAAATTAATGAAGTGTCAACGGCAAATAATACTACTCGTATATTATGGTTACCCCTTTTTTTTTTTTTTTGGATGGAAAATCATCAAATGACGCCTTTCGCTCTGGGTGGAGCGGAAGGGAGTGTCAGACTTTTACTGACTAAAAACCATCCGTGTTCCTTCAGTGCCCTTACGTTCCGGAGCCGCGGTATCTCTTTCGAACAGCCCGCAGCCCCGGCAGGCGTCGGCCCTTGCGGCCCTTCACGCTGCTGACAGCTCTTTGAGGCGCGCGTGGAACAAAACGCGCCGTCGACACGGCCTGTCTTCGTTAGACGGACGGACGGCGAGCTACCCATTGCTCGCCGTCCACAGGCCCGCGCCTACGGTGGCCGGGGGCCACGACGTAGCCCCCGACGCCCGGGGCGTCTCCCGCGGCGGCCGGGAAGGAAAGCTGCTGCTCTCTCCTTCTCCCGCTCCGCCACCTCCTTCGCTAGCATCACTGCTTCGCAGAAGGTGGTGACGGCATCCCATTCCGTCTCGCTCCGGACCATGGCTTCGACCAGGGCCGGACGCGAGAGGTCGCCGCCGCCTATCGCCGCTACGAGGACACGGCGGTGCTCCGCCCAGGCAGGGCACACCTCCACGGTGTGCTCCACCGTGTCCTACGGTCGATCCTCGCAGTGGGAGCACCCGGGCGTTTCCTCCCGCCCGATTCGGTGCAGGAACCTCCCGAACACACCGTGTCCGGTGAGGACCTGCGTCAGGCGGAGGGTGAGGACGCCGTGGCGTCTCTCAAGCCACTCCTCAAAGAGGGGTCTTATCGCCGCTATAGTGGCGTGCCCAGCACGGGGTTGCGACAGTCGCTCTCTCCATGTCGCCATGAGATCATGCCGGAAGTCTGTCCGCTGCACGACAACTTGCCGCGGCAGCGGGGTTTCCCCCCGGCATAGTGCCTCAGCGCGCCATTCGTGCAGGCGCGCGAGGACTATCGCCTCCAGATCCCACGGCGGCAATCCGGCAAGGAGGCACGCTGCCTCGCGGGAAATCGTGCGGTAGCCGCGAACCATTCTCACGGCAACCACCTTTTAGGGCGCGTTCAGGTGGTGGACGGCAAGCCGCGCCAAACCACGCGCCCACACCGGGGCTCCGTAAAGGGCCATGGACCGCACAATCCCCGCGTAGAGCCTCCGGCAGGAGGCGTTTGGCCCCCCCAGGTTCGGCAGGAGCCGCCTGAAGGCAGCCCCGGTCCGTTCCAGTTTGGGAGCCAAACGTCGGAAGTGCTCAACGAAGTTCCATCGGCCGTCGAGGACGAGTCCTAGGTACTTCAACGTCGACTCGACGCCGATGGATACCCCTCCTACCATCGCTGAGGATCCCGGTGGTGGCCTGTTCCGAGGACCATGGAAGTGCATGGCCTCGGACTTGTGCAGAGCCACCTCAAGACCCAGCTGCCGGATCCTCTCAACGACATTCGCAACCCCGCGTGTCATAGTTTCTGCCGCCGCCTCGTACGACCCCCCCTGTGCCAGTACCAGCGTGTCGTCAGCGTAGCAAACTACGCTGACGCCGGTAGGGAGGTCGGCGCGCAGCACCCAGTCGTAACCGATGTTCCACAGGGGCGGCCCCAGAACCGAACCCTGTGGGACACCGCACGACATCTCTCGCCGGTTCCACTCACCGTTGCGACCGGGGTAGATGACGGCCCTATCCGTCAGATAGTCCCCGACTATACGACGGAGATAGGTCGGCACCCGGTGATACCGGAGTGCCTCCCTAATGCAGCTCCAGGGCATGGAGTTGAAGGCGTTGGCGATGTCGAGAGACACCGCCAAAACAACCCCCCCTTGGCCACTGCATCCCCCGTCGTGAGGGCTCTCACGCGCATGATGGCGTCCACCGTAGGGCGCCTCTTGCGGAAACCAAACTGGTGTTCCGCAAGATCCGGCCCCGTCCCCGCAAGGTGCTCGGCGAGGCGGTTTGCAATGACTCTTTCAAAGAGCTTGCCCACCTCGTCGAGCAGCACTACGGGCCGGTATGCGGACGGAGAGTCCGCAGGGCGCCCCGGCTTCCGAATGAGGACCAGCTTCCCCGTCTTCCAACGAAGCGGGAATTGGCCTCTCTCCAAGCATGCGCTTAGGAGCCTCTCCAGTCGGGGCCCGAGAGCCTCCGAGGCCAGGACCCAGGCTTTGCCAGGCAAGCCATCGGGTCCTGGGGCGGTATTCCTGGCCTTGAGCCTACGTACCGCCACTCTCAGGTCTACCCCGGTCCCTTCCGGGATGCCGTCGTCGTCGTCCTGGTGATCCGCTTCCGGCACCGCAGGTGGCGGAGCCATATTATGGTTACCCCTACTATTTAAGGTAAGTAATTAATATATACAAGATACAGAAAGGGGCCGACAAATGATCCTTGAGGCACGCTCATGTGTACCATCGACCCGGAAGAGCTCATACTATTAATGACAAGTTTTGCGTTCTGTTACTTAAACATGAAACAATTAATTTAAGAGTATTACTTCTTACACCGTAGTGTTTTAGTTTCCTGATAAATGTTTCATGGTGAATACGATCGAAGGCTTTGAATAGGTCATAGAATATATCTAAAGCATCCTGTGAATTCTTCCCTGCATTGAAAATATATTTAGAAGTAGTGTTTAGTACACTAGCATCAGTTGTCGAGCGACCCCTTGAGAAACCGAATTGACTTTAATGAAGTAAACTATTTACAATAAAAAAAAAAAACATTTGATCAAGAATATTTTTTCAAAGATTTTACTACTTTTTGGCAGTACATAAATTGGTCTAAACTTGGCGGGATCTAATGCACTACCAGATTTAAATAAAGGCACTACTTTACTATGCTTCAATAAATCAGGAAACACACCATATTCGATACTAATGTTAAATATAAAAGCTAGTTAAGGTGCAAATATATTGATTATCGACGCAAAAACTTTACCGGAAAGCCCCCACAGATACGCAGTTTTCTTAATATCTATAGTTTAAAATAATAAAAAATGCTATATGATTTAAACAATGATCTAAATTTAATATTAGTGGCAGAAGCTTGTAAAATATTGATACTAAAGTCTTCAAATATTACAACAGATTTATTCCGTTTATTAAGCTTAACAAAAACTTCCTCAATATATTTTTTTCAAAAGTATCGTATATAGTATATGGGGATCTGTAGACGCTGACAAAAATGAGGTGGTCAAACTCAACACATTTCATCATTTCGTTCAACAGAGAGGCTCACAATGTCTTTTCGTTCTTTACATGATAATAATTTACTAGCTAATATTAACGAGCCACCTCTCAAAACCGTTTCTCTATTGAACGAACTGACCACCTGGTAATTACTGTAGTTAAACATAAAGTTATAAGCTTTAACCAATATTCAACAATACATACCATATGCATATTGTTGCTATTTAAGAACAATTCAATTACTAGCTCTTAACCTACCATGCCTTTTATATTCTGATGCACCAGGTATAAACAATTTTTATTATCAGTCTGTGGAGTCATACAATGATGGTTTCGTAAGCTATATTCTAAATTATATAAACTATTATAACTACGAGAGATTACCTCTATTGTGTCATTTTCTAATTTAAATCACATGGAACTGATTCCAAATTAAATACCAAGTAACTGCTCAATAGAAGCAGATGTCTGTGTAGCCAAGTCCTTGACTAAGTTAATATATAAACAATAAGATAGCACATTTGCTAATCTGTCTTTTAATTAAATTATTTATGTTTATTACATTAATTCTATTATTATAATCATAATGTCAAGTTTAAATTGTTATTACATAAAAAATTATTCATAATAAATTTAAATTGTATCTTATTTTATTTTCCTGTGGCCAACCCTGTATGTAAGGCTATGTAAACAAGACAATTTTATGTACATTTAAAGTATTTAGATAATCAATATATCTTAATAATTGAGTTTTGTTTACATAGCCTCTTCTCCCAACAAAAAAATGTTAACGTGCTATTAGGGCAAAACTTATTAGTTAAAACTTTATTCATTATATGACTCAAGGATGCTCCAGGCATAGAATAAGTAATAACCAGGTGTCCTTTTAAATATTTATTTATCATAGTGCCTAAATTTTTGCCTATGTTATCACAATACACAATAACTTTTTAAATATTTAAATTACTTTTTAAGTTAATATTCTTTGAATAAAACTATTTTTACGGATTTTATCGCGTTTAATTTACTATTTTAATTCCTGACGTTTCGGGTGCTTTAAAGCAACCCATGGTCACGGGGGGGGGGAGACTGATATATACTGGAGACTGATACGTCCCGATGTCACAGTTAGCCCGGCTACCTTCTGTACCACCTAGAATTTTGCCAGGATTTGAGCCAACTTATAAGGTACATGGTGTACCAAACCACCGAGATTATATGGCTTACCGAAAATACACAAACCAAATGCTCCACTACGTCCAATAGTAAGCCAAATCGATTCAACAACTTATAAGTTGGCTCAACACCTGGCAAAAATTATGTCACCACTGAGATGAAAACTAGAGCACACACAAAGTATTCGTACCATTTTGTTAGTGAAATAAGAGACCTACATCTCGCTGACAATGAAACTGTGCTGAGTTTTAATGTTCAATCACTATTTACATGCTTATCTATTGAACACTGCATCTCAATTGTCATCAGGAAGCTAGAAGAATACAACATGCCTACAGAATATGCAGTATTACTCAAATACTGCCTTACATCTGGCTATCTATTGTGGAAGGAGGAGTTCTACAAGCAAGTAGATGGAGTGGCGATGGGCTCACATGTATCTCCCATAGTCGCCGACATGTTCATGGAGGGCTTTGAGGAGAAAGCCCTTATTACTGCTCCTGTAGATCCAAGATTCTACAAGCGGTACGTAGACGATACTTTCACAATTTTACCATCGGACAAAGTAACTGCATTTTTAGACCACCTTAATTCCATAAACTCTAAAATACAATTCACAATGGAGTTAGAGGCAAACAATTCTTTAGCTTTCCTAGATGTTTTAGTCATCCGAAATCCTTATAACACCATTGGTCTCACTGTGTATAGGAAAAAGACCCATACCAACCGATATTTAAATGGTGAATCGCACCATCATCCATCACAGTTAGCTACCGTGGGAAAATCTTTGTTTCAAAGAGCACCAGGGATCTGTGACAGAAAAAATCTGGCCGCCGAGCTTCAGCACGTCGAGCAAGTATTGCAAGACAACAAGCTTCGGGTCCTGCGCCTACGTCACAGTGACCGAGTGAAGCCGAACACAGTCGAGCGTGTGCTTGCTGTACTACCCTATGTCAGAGGAGTCACAGACAAGGTTGGGTACATTTTGAAGCGAGCTTCTATTAAAACATACTTCAAGCCGCCGAAGAAGATTAGTCAATTTTTACCATCCGTCAAGTGTAATATCCCTCTACAAAATGCAGGAGTGTACAAGCTTGATTGCAAATGTGGTCTCTCTTACATAGGACCAACAAAAAGATCCATAAAAACCCGCGTGAAAGAACATATAGATATGGCTGATGTGAAGCACCGACGCTCTGGGAAGTCTGCAGTCTGTGAACATGTTCAAGATCACCCCCGCTATTACATCAGATTTGATAGACCACAAATCCTCGCTAAAGAACACCAAATTCTTCCAAGAATGATTCGCGAGGCTGTTGAAATGAAAAAAAAAAACAAATTTCAATAGAGAAGAGGGATCCTATAATTATAAATAAATAAATAAAATATCTTTTATTTATACTACAATACAAAGTTAACTTATGATTAATGTAGGTTATAATAATATAGTATAATTAATGTGTTTTTATATGTATAATTATATATATATATATACATGACTTCAGGCTTTAACTAGCCTGAATGACCTTGACGAAACGGCGATCTCAGAGATTTTAGCCGACGTCAACACCGTCTAACGACAAAGTTTTTTATTACTTATAAAAGTGCAAAGACTAATAGACTGCAGAGGTGACAGTTATATAAGTGACTTACTGTGTGTTATGCTTGCGCATCACTGAGAATTATGTCGCGGTTACGCATCTTCAATTACATTGCACGGTGTGGTGCTGTAGCTTTGTCTGGTAGGCATCACGAGCTATCAAATGTTCAAGTTTCAAGTACGTAAGAGTTTTTATTATATATGTTAAATCGTATTTATTTGTATCGTATTAGTAGCTCTGGGTCAAAGCGTTCGCTGTAAATTTTTCCCGTGTTTGATCCCCGGCAGCACAAATGAAATTTGTAATTGCAATTTTCGTCAACACGCATTGGGGCAGCGCGGCGGGCATTTCCTTGCCCTAAAACCCTAGAGGGATTGTATAGCCTAAGAAAGAAAGAAAGAAAAAAGAAACATTTAATTGCACAGAATACAGGTGGTGCCAGATTTAACAGTGGTGCATAGTTCAAGCTATATTCTGCCTTTAATAAGCATGCAAATATTAATAATTATATAAAACAATTAAATTACTATTATATTACTTACAAAAATGGTATGTTATTATTTATCATATTTATTATTATTTTTAGTATATTACATTTTATTTAATATTACAAATAATCATATACATTAGTTTTATGTTGCATGAACTCTTGTATCGTATAAAAACACTTATCCACTAGCCATTTTCTTACCTTTATTTTAAAATATTTTAATGGAAGTTCCCGTAGACTCTTAGGCAGTTTATTAAAAACTGATATGCACATATGATACAAATTTCTTTTATTTAAAGCTGTTCTACAAGATGGAATTATTATTTTAGTAGGATTTCTTGGTCTGTATTTATTAAAATGATCCCCCTTGAATTTAAAAAAATCGTTATACTTCCTTACAAAGACTGATCAACAATGTCAATGTCAATGTCAGTAAATTAAGTTTTTTAAATAAAGGTTTACAGGAGTCAAGTGGACTTGCTCCACAAATAGCTCTTAAACATTTCTTTTGTGCAATGAATGCTTGACCAACATCAGTCGAATTCCCCCATATTATTAACCCATATCTAAGGATTGATTCTACATAGCCTTTATACGCTGTACCTGCAGTCTTTTCATCTGATACGGTCCAAAGCTTTCTAAGGGCATAGGAAAACCTGCTTCGTTTGAGACAAGCATCATTTACATTTTGTGTCCAATTACAAAATCTGTTCAAAGTTATACCTAAGAATTTTATGCTGTCAGCTTCTTCTATATTATTTAATTAAAATTGACACGTGACTTATTTGGCCTTCTACTTACAACTCGGCGGAAATATGAAAAGAAGATTTTATTTTTTCTTAATTATCTTGTGTACACC